TCCGTTTGGGTCGGGGCCCTCAATTAGTTTTATTATATAAGCTATATAAATATAATTTCAAAGAGAGCGATTGCATTGGATGGTGGAATTCAATCACATAAAAATAATTACGTTTTATTCTGTGTGTTAAACATTCAGTAAGTTTCTGAATTAGGACACAACCATTGTACAACATTCCGTCTTGTATTAGCTACTACAAATATAATATAAAAGAGAGAGCTAATGCATCGGTGGGTGGCATGTAGTTCTAAAAGAGAGAGCTAATGCATCGGTGGGTGGCATTTAGTTCTAAAAGAGAGAGCTAATGCATCGGTGGGTGGCATTTAGTTCTAAAAGAGAGAGCTAATGCATCGGTGGGTGGCATTTAGTTATATACAGCCAGCGACATATCAGTTTTTGTGTGACAAAATTTACTAGGTTTCTGAGTTCGTACAACCATTTTACAATATTTCGTGTGGGGCTGGGGGCCCTAAATTCCGTATAATTTCCGTATGGGTTCCTATACCTTTCATCCGATTGCGATAAAACTTTGTGGAGTTGTGCGCCCGCCCACAAATGTTTCTAAATTAGTCAACCATTTTACACTATTCCGTTTGGGGCCAAGGGCACGTTTTTCGATGTTTTGTTTTTGTTTTTTTTGGTGTTAATATGAGCTATATAAATATAATTTCCATATGCGTGCCTATACCATTCATCCGATTACGAAAACACTTTGTTGAGTTGTGCGCACGCCCGCAAAGGTTCTAAATTATTACAACCATTTTACAATATTCCGTTTGGGGCCGGGGGAATCTAAATTCGATTTGTTAAATGTGTCCTATAAATATAATATCAGCGCCATTGCATGAGAGGATGGAATTCCATCAAATGAAAACAGCGACATTTCAGTTTGCGTGTAACATATTAAGTAGGTTTCTTTATTACTTCAACCATTTTAAAATTTTCTATTTAGGGCCCTAATTTTATTTTTTTTAAGCTATGAGCTATATAAATATAATTTCAAACAGAGCTATTGCTATATAATTATAATTTCAAACCGAGCTATTGCACGCAACAGACGGGGGAAAAAAAGTATATTGTCTATATAAAAAGTACTTCAAAAAACATCTCACTTTTTCAATGGTCATAATAGAAGTAAAAAAGGCCTTACAATGGTGAATGGGTAACTTACTAACGATACGGTACCAACCGTAATGGCATACTGTAAAAAATAATTAAAAGAAATTGACACAAGCGACGCATGTCAGATATATTTATGAAGGATCAACAAATATATTGTAATTATTAATTTCATAATTATGACACACTACTATTTCTGAGATCAGTGGATGGCTCACAGGACATCATGACACGCTACTATTTCTGAGATCAGTGGATGGCTCACAGGACATCATGACACGCTACTGTTTCTAAGATCAGCGGATGGCTCACAGGACATCATGACACGCTACTATTTCTGATTTCAGTGGATGGCTCACAGAACATCATGACGCGCTACTATTTCTGATTTCAGTGGATGGCTCACAGAACATCATGACACGCTACTGTTTCTGAGATCAGCGGATGGCTCACAGGACATCATGACACGCTACTATTTCTGATTTCAGTGGATGGCTCACAGAACATCATGACATGCTACTATTTCTGATTTCAGTGGATGGCTCACAGAACATCATGACACGCTATTTCTGATTTCAGCGGATGGCTCACAGGACATCATGACACGCTACTATTTCTGATTTCAGTGGATGGCTCACAGAACATCATGACACGCTACTATTTCTGAGATCAGCGGATAACTCACAGGACATCATGACACGCTACTATTTCTGAGATCAGCGGATGGCTCACAGGACATCATGACACGCTACTATTTCTGAGATCAGCGGATGGTTCACAGGACATCATGACACGCTACTATTTCTGAGATCAGCGGATGGTTCACAGGACATCATGACACGCTACTATTTCTGATTTCAGTGGATGGCTCACAGAACATCATGACACGCTACTATTTCTGATTTCAGTGGATGGCTCACAGAACATCATGACACGCTACTATTTCTGATTTCAGTGGATGGCTCACAGAACCTCATGACACACTACTATTTCTGAGATCAGCGGATGTTTCACAGGACATCATGACACGCTACTATTTCTGATTTCAGTGGATGGCTCACAGAACATCATGACACGCTACTATTTCTGAGATCAGCGGATGGCTCACAGGGCATCGAGATTTATAAAATAACAGATTATAAAACATGATTCACTAATCACTGAATTTTCCCTTGACAACCAGCGTATGTTTAAATGTGTCGACTTTGACAACCAGCGTATGTCTCAATGTATCGACTTTGACAACCAGCGTATCTCTTAATGTATCGACTTTGACAACCAGCGTATGTCTCAATGTATCGACTTTGACAAACAGCGTATGTTTCAATGTATCGACTTTGACAACCAGCCACAAGTAAACGACATGGATGGTTTGGAAAAAGAAATGTCTGTTGATTCAAACCAAGATACTGTAAGTATCAGATTCTTTTCTCTGGAATGTACAAGTTAAAGATTATTTACGGTCTGAAATTATTAAAATATATGGAGCGCCTCGTTTCAGAACAACGACGGATTGCTCTATTCAGCGTAGTGACAAGGCAAAATACGAACTCTAGAGAAGGTGTTCGCCAACTAAGAAAACAATGGATCTACGGGATGATGAAAAATGACAAGAAAATACTGCAGTCTTGGATGGTTTATTCATTCGTCAGTCAGAATTTGTATTGTGTTTGCTGCAGATTGTTTGTAAATGTTATAGAAACAGCATCAAAAGTTGTTACTGGCTAAAATCTCTTGCAATACTCTCGCTAAGCATATAATTTTTTCTTACGAAATGTGTGTGTGTGTGGCTTCATGTGAGCGGAGCTTTTCAAAACTAAGGCTTATCAAGAAATATTTATGATCCACCATGGGGCAGTCTAGGCCAGGGGTGTCAAACTCAATCGGCGGGCCAAAACTAAAATCATATGTAACGTTGCGGGCCAAAACTCAAATCACATGAAAGGTTGAGGCCAAAACTTTAATCACGTGTAATGTCGCGGGCCGAACAGGATAAACATTCAAAAAGCGGAAAATTAACATTTAAAAAAATATTTTTTTATATATATAAAAAACAGAAAAAAAGTTGAAATAATTAAAAATCATTGGCATATCAATTGTCGTTCTTACACCAATTTGTCAGAGTTGGATGTTTAGCAAATTTTCTCGGCTACAAAAACAAGTAAGTTCGTTTATATTGGGAGTAACGTTATGTGTCATTAAGATTCTCATGATGGACTGCAAGTGTTGATCAGTGAGACGACTCCTGGGTGATGTTTTTTAATCTTCATCACGAAAACAGCTTCTCACACATATATGTGCTCCCCAAAATGCTCAAGGTTCGAGCCGCATGTAGATGAAGATGGGGCATCTCTTTGGAAAGGAACTGTGCGGGCCCAACTGTGTCGTACTTTGCCTTTAGTGTCCCAGTATACTGCAGCTCTATTAACGCCATCTGCGAACTTTCAGGTGCAGTTTCCACGTCTTTGACCAACGGGTTACGAAACAGCTCGAAATTACATTTCCGTGCGGACTCCGCGCAAAGTAAGCTAAGTTTTTCACCAAAGTGTGCATTGGGAAACAGCACAGCGTTGACTAGGATATAATGAAACACCGGTCAAGCGTTGACTAGGATATAATGAAACACCGGTCAAGCGTTGACTAGGATATAATGAAACACCGGTCAAGCGTTGACTAGGATATAATGAAACACCGGTCAAGCGTTGACTAGGATATAATGAAACACCGGTCAAGCGTTGACTAGGATATAATGAAACACCGGTCAAGCGTTGACTAGGATATAATGAAACACCGGTCAAGACCTCGCGGTCCGGATATAATTGTACGGTTGGCCGGATGTGACCCGCGGGCCTTAAGTTTGACACATGTGGTCAAGGCTTTCTGATGTTGCTCTGCTATCAATTGAAAGTGATACAGTGAACGACATTCATTTTGATCAAGTCATTGACAGGTTTTCAGGTTTGAGGACAAGGAAAGGAAATTTTAAATAAGTAAATTTAATGTAAAAATAACCATAACTTAAAAATGTTACAATTTTTAAATGCATTGACCTCATGACCTTCGCTTTATGTCTTTTTTTTTGTTCTTGTCACTGTTATACTATGGACTTATTTTAACAAGAAAAATTCCATCATGGAAGTTTGGGTGGGGGGGGGGGGGGGGGGTGACACCATGACACCATGAGTTTACCGCACCGGGTGGCACCAACCCTAGCTATACGCCACTGCTTAAAATTACATGTTTTATTTTGTTTTNGTGATACAGTGAACGACATTCATTTTGATCAAGTCATTGACAGGTTTTCAGGTTTGAGGACAAGGAAAGGAAATTTTAAATAAGTAAATTTAATGTAAAAATAACCATAACTTAAAAATGTTACAATTTTTAAATGCATTGACCTCATGACCTTCGCTTTATGTCTTTTTTTTTGTTCTTGTCACTGTTATACTATGGACTTATTTTAACAAGAAAAATTCCATCATGGAAGTTTGGGTGGGGGGGGGGGTGGGGGGTGACACCATGACACCATGAGTTTACCGCACCGGGTGACACCAACCCTAGCTATACGCCACTGCTTAAAATTACATGTTTTATTTTGTTTTGCCCGATTGCGTTAGTTTAGATTTATATGAATGCACTTCGAGGCACCCCTTAGGCATCCCTGAGGCACCCCTGAGGGGCTCTTGAGACACTCCTAAGGCACCGCGTTTTTCTAGTTTAAAAAACCACCCGTCATTTGCAAGATGTATTCTTATATGTTGTATTTATTTCATATGCTCACTCGTCACTGTTGTTGACCTTCTCTCGGAGACCTACTGTCAAAAAACCACAAAGGTTTGCATGTGTCAACTCGAAAACAAACAAAAAGACTTGCCTATACAAAAATTTAAAAAACTTTGTTTATTCATTGTTTGATCACATTATGAGGAATTCCAAATGATACAGTCGACAAAAGTTTCAACAATGATTCTTTCAAACTTGACATTCAATATGAGAACAACAATTGGTAGCAGATAAAGGAAAGGTCTGTACTCAGTGGCGTGCAGGGTTTCTTTCAGCTATATCTCCCGGGGGGGGGGGTGGAGGGGGGGTGGAGGTGCCCCCACCCCGGGAAAGCCAAGTGCCCCCCCCCAGCAAAAATATTTCCAACAATAAATTAGCTGGAATTGCTGGCACTAACCCCCCCCCCCGAAAATTCTAAAGTGCCCCCCGGGGGGGGGCAGGAAATTTCTGAATTTCTGGTGGCGTGGCTTAATGTTTTGTAAAGAAATGAGCAACATTAACTAAGAAGTACTTTAGGAAATAAAGTGATTTAGTTCAAGTGGACAAGTCTTATCGAGATGGTTCTATACAAAGCGAGCAATGCGGATGTCATGGGTTGAGGGTAATTTTCTCAAATTAATTTTTTTTAAATGGTTTTGTCCAAGAGTTGTTATTTTCCACCCTTCAATATTTTCACTTGTCAATACGCCATTGTTTTTCGAAACGAAAAAAAAATAGATACAACTATGTACAAGCCAGGTTCATTGGATGAAATCAAAGATCTGTCTTCTTCCTTGATTCCAAATACTGTTTAATGCCCTCAACCTCGGACACGGTGGACCTCAAAGCTTTAACGGCTGGGTACTTGTCCACCAGTTCTGGATTTGTCTGCGAGACGCTGGTGGTGCCCTCAAAGATGACAATGTCTGCCAGGCTCAACTGAAGAATCGATGGACATTTATTAGCACTGGTTAGTCAGAACTGTAACATGGCTATTCTAATCTAAGTCTAAATAAAACTATTTGAAACCGGAAATTTCATATCTTCTACGTCCAAAGTTTACAAAATATGTTCCTTTAATTGAAACAGTTCGGTAAATGACCGAAGAAGTCTTGGTTGTGACAAGATAAAAGTACCTAAATGTTTTAAGTCACGAATTGATTAATGCTTGTTTTATGAACTAAAAAAATTGTGCTAGCTTTAATTCACTATAAAAGAATTGTGGACATTTCCCAGGGTGTTTACCTTTGTGCCAACAGCAAACTTGGATTTGGTTTTCTCTTTGTTTTCTTCAATAAGTTTGTTAAAGTAGGCCAGGAAACGGGGATACACGGTCTCAGTCATAGTCTTGACAAGCTCTGCCTGTAAAGAAAAGAAAAAAAAAGAAGAAAAAACATTATATTTTAAAACCTATAAAGTGAGGTAAGAAAACAAATTGGGCACTATATGTAACTGTTCACCGGCTCTCCTTGGGTAGACACACATTGAAATACTGACGGGACTGAAGTCTCGCGGGTTTTGAAATAGGTTCAGGAGAAATTTTCTCTTCAGTACCAAGCATATTAACATCACAAATCCCCTCTACATAAATAGGAGCCAGAATGATCAGTACAGTCATCGTGGGCCCTCAAGATATAGAAAATTCAGGTTTAGTCCTAATTTTTAATTATGTTTACTTTACTATAGTTCAGACAGTGCTGTCAGTGTTGGTCAAACCACCTCAAAATTGGTCAACCCACCTCAGTGTTGGTCAACCCACCTCAGTGTTGGTCAACCTATCTTATAGTTTGTCAAACCACCTCAAAATTGGTCAACCCACCTCAATGTCGGTCAACCCAGATCAATGTTGGCCAACCCACCTTTTTGGTCGCATCCTTCTCTTTGAAGAGGTTAATTTCCTCCACGATGAGATCCTCCCTGAGGACGTGGATTTGGTCGATGGCAAGGCCCTCTAGGTTACTGCTTCCATACAAGCCTAGCACAAGACATAGCAATAGAGTCAAACAAAGAATACGATGTTGTAGTGTATAGAAGATACAATGAATTAACTCTAACTCAACTAAGTGTTAAATGAAATTATTTTTGTTATCTCAAATGAGCACATGTAGCTTTCTGATTTAATGTCAATATAAATTTGGTTTGGGGGCATCATTTCTGGTCCAATCAATAACTTTTGAAATCGAATTTTAAATCACGTGTATGAAAGGGGATGTAACTCGCGAAGTTACAGATAATAAATCACAGTTACTTGCTACCGGTAAAACAATAATCCAATTCTCAATAAAGAAAAAGGGGGGGGGGGGGGCTCTACATATTTTAAAAACAATTTATGTTGGGTGAGTATATTCGCTTGTAAAGAGTGACTTACCATTCTCCCTCGCCAGGAACGCTGCTAGAGCCATTCCTTGAGCGAACTGTTGGCCGTCAACTTCCAACACAGGCAAACTGCCAAATGGGGTTTCTGGAAGAAAAGAAAAACATAACGGATTTAAAGGTGTACAGAGTCACGTGTGGGGATGGGGATCATGTGATGGCAACACAGCATCAGTTTCACTTTTGTAAATAAACTTTACAAAGCTCCTCGGTGAAAGTGTCAAACGATTGGTGAAAGTGTCAAACGTTCGGTGAAAGTGTCAAACGTTCGGTGAAAGTGTCAAACGTTCGGTGAAAGTGTCAAACGTTTGGTGAAAGTGTCAAACGTTCGGTGAAAGTGTCAAACGTTCGGTCAAAGTGTCAAACGTTCGGTGAAAGTGTCAAACGTTCGGTGAAAGTGTCAAACGTTCGGTGAAAGTGTCAAACGTTCGGTGAAAGTGTCAAACGTTCAGTTCACTGAAAATTATAATCAATTTGACGTTAACAATACAGAAATTATAAGATGAATAATACTGCGTGTTTGCTGATGTTCAAAATTATAAGATGAATAACACGGTGTGTTTGCTGATGTTCAATCTTTTCATTAAGATGATTTCTGTGCGATACTGGAGTGGACAAGGATCGGAACTTACGTCATGAGTGATGAGTGGTAATCGAGCCACCAGTGACATCATGGAAATAGCTCAGTGTTAAAAAAAAACACATCAAATAATAGAATTTCATATTGGTCATACAATAAGGTGACCATTCCAATACGGTGACCATCCCAATTAGGGGACCTTTCGTACAATTTTGTACCAGGTGAGTGCTTTTTTTTCTGTCCTGGTTTATTTATTGAAGGATTGAGTACATCAAGTGAAAATAGATTACAAACCAAGCTCAAATACGATATACTTCGGGTCCCACCTGCAGCCAATAGCTTTAAACAAAACCGGCTCAAATAACAATTCCTCTGTTTTTGGCTTCCGATTAAAGCTTTATCTCAGCTTTTCTATTCTTACGCCACAGTTCCTGATACATAAATAGTTTGTTTAACTTCATGCCGATGAGCTAAGTATTTCTTTCCTCGATTTAAAAAAAAAACAAAACCCATCCATATAACTAAATCGAAGAGTATAAACATTCACTACTTCATGACGTAATGACTTCATCGGATAAGTAGGCTTACTATTTTCAAAACTTAGAGTAGGCCTGGTGCAAGTGCAACAGTTTCACTATGGTTAATCCGTTGGGGGGGGGGAGCGGCAGTGGAGTCTAAGTACTGCCGGGAAGAATTTCCAAAAGTGCGCCCCCCTCCCCTTTACAACACACATCGATTGGTATAAACTTAGGCAAGTATAAGCTATTCCTAAGTGCCGCGCAGGGGGGTCTCCCCTTTCGTATCCTCCTAGGTACGCCACTGGGCGGACACACTTTCTCGCTCCAACACTGATTGTAAAATAGATTGAATGCAAATGCCCGCTTGGTGACTTGCAATTATAAACTCCAAGTTTGCACCATGTATCTGAATACTGAAGCTCTGACTGTCGTGTATTTGTATCCGGTTTTGGCGTAAGTCGTGGCTTCCGGGTTCACGTAAGACATTTTGAATAGGGAAGATCCGTTGTACGGGACCCACATTTCTTATCGGTGGCGGATACGGGGCTGACGATTGGGGAAAGGTTGGGGGGAGGTGGTGGTGGGGGTGGTTGTGGTTGTCCGGACAAAAAAAAAAACAACGAAAAATTTAATATTTCATTTTGCTTTTTTTTTTTTAAAGTGAATAATGAAATCTATGAATATTTCATTTGCATACGCATATTTAACACTGATTATTGAAAATATCAATTTTAATCGAGCATTCACCAATAGCAATGGTTAACAAAAAGCACACGAAATGATGGGCTCAAGCGTGTTCAAGGGATTTAATAATTATAGGAATACTCTCACAAGGTGACATCATGAAATTATTACCCCGAGTCTATCATCTTGAGTCTACCATCGGCCTGTAAGAAGGAAGTAATAAAAATGCATTTATTTATTCCTCTGCCTGGTTGCCTTACTTGGTTTAAGGTTGCCCCAGTCAGAGAATGCCACCCGGTTGTCATGAAACTTCTTTTTGGCTGCATGTAAGACAAGACGGCTGGTCTCCGCTCTGCCACGCAGGTCAAAGTAAGACAGTTTTAGAGACATGATGAGTAATCTGCAAGAAAGAAAACCTTTGTAATAGTTGGTTGTTTGATGGGTTAAATCCAAGCACATTTTAAATACTGAGTACCCTATCAGGGTTTCCTCTTTATCACTGACTTCCCTCACAAGGAAAAAAAAAACAGTTTTAAATGTTAAACTACCAGGATTCATTGTAATTGTAATGTGTGTGCTCAATTGGATGTTTAATGTTGGCTTACAAATAATTTGACCTACCAAACCGAATATAAGTATATATAAATTATTGTTACTAACAATCACTACTCATATGTAAGAAATAGACAACTAAAAGCTTACCAAGAGCTGGCGGTGACTATCAGAACGTTATTAAAAGTGGATAATCTGAGTGGTGAGCTGTCCTTTATATGAGATGGCAGGGTCGGCGTGGGAGGGGGAGGGGGGTATTCTGCTGCGTCATACACGACACAGTTACATCCTTAAATAGACGGAACAGACAGGGGCGCGAATCCGGTTCACTGTCAGCATGAAAATGTCATTTGGTCTCGATCAGTTCTAATCATGGGCCTCCGACAGGTGAAACGACCCACAGCCCACTCTTTAATAAAGGCGTTTTATATCTGAACATAATCTACATTTGAAGTATGTAGTGTTCAACTGTTTCAAACCAATAACCATCCTTTATAATGTAATGAGCATGTGCTTCTAAGACGCTGTGGCCGCACTAAAGGACTATGAGTACGGTTGTTTTATAATTTTTTAAAAGTATTCTTGTCTAGAAAAGGAGAAAAAAAAAGGGGGTGGGTGGGGGTTGGTATGAAGATAGAGTTCCTGGATTTGATAAGGTTTAGCTCCGAGGCGTTCAGGACATTACAGCAACCCGTAAGAACATTTGGGATATTTTTGGCTCGTCACCTGAACTTTGTCTGGCATGGTTCTAGGAAGTCAACGAGATCCAGGAAGTGCGAGCGTGCACATATAGCGAGATGTTTATCGAGTTCTGCATGGCTGACAAACTTATACCAAATACTTAGTTTAACCCAGACAAAATTTTAAAAATTAGAACAATTCAGACAAAAGATATCGAAACAATTTCTCGAGCTGAGACATCAGCCATCAGTGAACTCATTTAGTGACCACCATGATTTAATTGGTGATCATTTAGATTTGATACCCGGGGGGGGGGGTAGCGCGCTGATTAATTCGTGCAGCACGGAGAAAAAATTAATGTTTAAGTCTTTGGGTCTTAACTTTAACTGTAAGAGAAAGAATTCATGCTGCTCGAGCTGATCTTAGGCGTATGGCATGAAGAGGGAGCGATGTATCATCCAAGATCTTTGCTTTTTTTTTTTTACAACTGCAATTTTGTTAAAATAGTTCTTCAAGTGAAGGATGTTTAGTTTGTGTGATATAAATAGCTTTCTTGGTTAGTCTATTCAATCGATATTTGGTGTCAGATTTTTAAAAAAATAAAAATTGTACAAACACGCTCCATTTAAAAGGTCAATTGTTTCCTTCTCTTAGATGAGTTGCCATCCAATGTTAGCGTGTGCCATCCACCCGGGGGGCTGGTCTTAGATGAGTTGCCATCCAATGTTAGCGTGTGCCATCCACCCGGGGGGCTGGTCTTAGATGAGTTGCCATCAAATGTTAGCGTGTGCCATCAACCTGGGGTGCTGGTCTTAGATGAGTTGCCATCCAATGTTAGCGTGTGTCATCCTCCTGGGGTGCTGGTCTTAGATGAGTTGCCATCCAATGTTAGCGTGTGTCATCCTCCTGGGGTGCTGGTCTTAGATGAGTTGCCATCAAATGTTAGCGTGTGTCATCCTCCTGGGCTGCTGGTCTTAGATGAGTTGCCATCAAATGTTAGCGTGTGCCATCCACCTGGGGTGCTGGTCTTAGATGAGTTGCCATCCAATGTTAGCGTGTGTCATCCTCCTGGGGTGCTGGTCTTAGATGAGTTGCCATCAAATGTTAGCGTGTGCCATCCACCCGGGGTGCTGGTCTTAGATGAGTTGCCATCCAATGTTAGCGTGTGCATCCAATGTTAGCGTGTGTCATCCTCCTGGGGTGCTGGTCTTAGATGAGTTGCCATCAAATGTTAGCGTGTGCCATCCACCCGGGGTGCTGGTCTTAGATGAGTTGCCATCCAATGTTAGCGTGTGCCATCCTCCTGGGGTGCTGGTCTTAGATGAGTTGCCATCAAATGTTAGCGTGTGCCATCCACCTGGGGTGCTGGTCTTAGAAGAGTTGCCATCCAATGTTAGCGTGTGTCATCCACCCGGGGGCTGGTCTTAGATAAGTTGCCATCCAATGTTAGCGTATGCCATCCACCCGGGGTGCTGGTCTTAGATGAGTTGCCATCCAATGTTAGCGTGTGCCATCCACCCGGGGTGCTGGTCTTAGATGAGTTGCCATCCAATGTTAGCGTGTGCCATCCACCCGGGGGCTGGTCTTAGATGAGTTGCCATCCAATGTTAGCGTGTGCCATCCACCCGAGGGGCTGGTCTTAGATGAGTTGCCATCCAATGTTAACGTGTGCCATCCACCCGGGGTGCTCCTGTTGTTTTTTATTGTCTAAGCTTTCGTTTGGGATTGCCTCAGTTTAAAACACTCCACCGTCCAGCACAATTAACAACAAAATGATAAAATATAGATGTTATATAATAATCATTAGCATAGTAGAATCTTATTTACAGTGTTATTACGAATAAGCTGACAGTGTCATCGAAATGTTCATTTTAAAAATAATAAAACACAGCTTTTGAGCGTGCATACATTCAAATGTACATTAGGACCGCGAAGTGTGCGATTAATTTATGGTAAACATTCATCTATAATTTAGGAGTTCATATTACCAATCAAAGTGCGTGTCAGCAATATTTAATTTACCGATACATAATATGCTACCATTTCTACATGGTCTGTCATTTCTAAGACCGGAAAACGTCACATCGCATTACGTCATGTGACTATTTTTAGACAATGTTTTCGGAAAACGCTTCTAACAATGAATACATACAGCAGTAATAATTTGTTCGTACAATTTTTACTAAAATAAAGTCATAAACACGTGTTCTTTCAGTCCTAGACCCACTAAGCTGGCTCACATTAACGTAGACGTATACCGGAGAGCAGTGGCGTAGCGAGGGTGTTTGGCGCCCGGGGACAAGATTCGCGCCCGGGGACAAGATCCATTTTTAGCGCCCGTTTTTCTTTTTTTCAACTCTCAAAACCATTATTTTCATCAATAAAATAATATCAAAGCACATTTTGGCGCCCCTAACTAGCTGGCGCCCGGGGAAATCTGTCCCCCCTGCCCCCACCACGCTACACCTCTGCCGGAGAGCTGTTCAGAGATTGGCTAAACGGAATACCAGGATGTTTTATTAATATCTAAATGAGATTGGCCAGACCTTACACCCGGATGTTCTAATAACAGATTTCTGCCATTAAATGAAAAACCCTATCCAATGATACTGTGTACTTGATTTATTCGCATTCGGCGATCGAACACGCATCGTCTCTACGTGGAATGAAAGTAATTTAGATAGCACCCCTTCTCAAAATATAGCATGGGTTTATTGATATTAGCCAAGTTCGTTTTAAATATTAAAATAATATAAGTATATATATAATAATATAAAAGAGTAAAATGAGGGGAAAATAACGGACGTGCAAGGATAACAGTACGCATAGTCTCTTTAAATTATAGGCTACATATTTAGCATAGGCTATTTAGGTTGACCCATTGGGTACGCAAATTCTTTTTCATATACGTTAGCTATAATTATATTAATACGCGTCGGCTTCAGTGTAGAGTTCCATGTGATCTATCATACATTTTTATAATCCAGATAAACACAATGATGGGTTTTGGACTCTTTGTTTTTCTATTTTCCTTCAAGTAACATTTGGTCCCAATTTTATTCAATAAATGAACTATATCTCTGACACTTTAAACCTTTATTAAAGAGCAAGCTTCAATAATTTACCTTGAATATTTATTGAAAAGATTTTGATAGGACCCTTGTTTAAGTAATAAATTTGACATATTATGATATATCCCTTTCTCTTCAATCCAGAGGGAGGTGGGTGTCAATTTAAAAAATAGAAAAGGCTAAAGGGGTCGTTCGCAAAGTACGCAAAAAATGACTTTTTCAGACCCCCTCCATACGTCACAAGTATCACAAATTCTTTACCCGCCCTCCCCCCCCCCAACTTTTTAGTGTTTCACGTCACACCTAAAAAAATTCAAAACATACATACAATTTTCATAACTAAACTAAGATTTTATTTTACTCTTTAACAGTTTCCCATAATGTATTAAGATGTAGTATTATTTGAAAACGTTACGTAAAACAAAAACAATGAAGTCCTCCCTGAGCCGAATAGAAAATGGCCATAACAGCTTTTGCGTCATTTTTTGATATGCGCAGAAGGTGTGTGCGACTGAGTTCCACGGTACTTAATATACCTGATGCAATTTCGACCTCAAATTAATGTTTTTAAATTTAATTGAATAAAGATTTTTACAAAATTAAGAAAATTTTATACTTTTTTTTTTTAAATCGTGACGTCACTCATTTTTATCCCCCCCCCC